GTTATGCATGCCAGGTCTGCGTCCTCCTCCAGGATAAGGTCACAAATTACCTGGGATTTATTGGACACAGACCTGGCATTCAACAGCAGCAGGGATAGAGTGGAAGGCTGGCTGAACTGGTTACCTCGATATTGGGGGTTGGTCACAGTCTCAGAACAATGAACAGCCTTCAAACATCTGTTCCTTGTTCTTCTAACACGAGTAGGGACTGCGCCGACGCTATACCTCCCATTACCCGTAGTCACAGAGATCTTAAAAGGCCCCTCGCTGGGGGGGCAGGCCTTCTAATCCATATCAGGGAGAAAGAAGGGAAAAGGAACAAAAAAAAGATGAAAAGGGGAAAAAGTAAAAGAGAAAAAAACAATTGAGAAATAAATACAAAATCAAAATATCAAAATTAACAGAAAATGGTGCAATCAAATTATATAAATTACTTAATAAGCATATAATAAAAATGCATAACCCAATTGTAATATAAACTTAATACCAATTAAATTAAAGGATTACATATTAACAATAAAAGGAAGAGAAAAAGGGAAAAAACAATTATAAAAATCCGACAGTGATTGTCCCCCAACATATATTTCTGAACTGTCCTCCTTTACTATGTAATCTTGTCCTTTTTGATGTTAATCGTCCTGGTGGTATTAATGGTGGTGTTGGTATACGAGTCTTAGAGCAAGAGCAAGGCTCCCAGATCTTAATGGTGGATACAGCGTTCGCAAAGAAACTCATAGACAGAATCAGAGTCACTACTGCCGAAGCTGGAAGAAAGCCTGCCATTGTCCAACCTTGAGAGCCAGCTGTGATAACTTCGTCATTGAGGCACCAAAAACAGATTGAGGAGAGGGAAGGTGAAGAAAGGGTTACTCTCCGGGTGTTAAACATGGCGCAGCGTTCCAACGCTCCTCGCAGACACCCTCAGCAACCACAGTTTCCAGGCATACAGTCCAAACCTACTGCAGCAGTCTCTAGTCCCCAGTTCACAGAAACTCCTCTAAGTTACCTCCAGATGAAACAGGGTTAGTCGGAGTCTCTGCAAAGGTGCCTCCAGATGGAAATAAAGCTGAAGCGATAGACTCTGAGCACTGACGAGCAGTCTAGAAGCAACCCCCGCCTTCTGAGCTCCGGCTCCGCCTGACTCAGCTCACCCCGTTTGCTCTTGTGTCGGTCGGCTGATATAGCTCTCTCTCCGTGGCCCTCTCTCACTCCACAGGGGATTTCCAAGCTTCCAAGCTCCCTCTCAGTGCCGTAAATAAGGGAGGGAGGGAGACAGTTCAGAAGGGGGAAGTAATTTGAATTTAAAAAGAACAAAGACAGGCAGAAAAGTGTGAGGGAAAAGAAAGGAAAGTAGGAAAAACAAACCGGGGGCTGCAGGAGTAAAATCACTATCCATGTGCCACCGGCGCCATCTTGGGGAAAATCTTGGGGAAAAGTAGAAAAATGTATTCACGGAACCAATACTTTGAAAACAACAGAAACAAAGGCTCAAGACAAGAAACAAAAGTTTGAAACTAAATTAAACAGTTAGAAAAATAAACCACTACATGGACAACATCTGAGAAATATTGATGGAAAGTATGACAATAATTCAGCATGGGAATGGCTGAAACTGGGCACCAAGAAAGAAACCAAAGCCTTGATTTTTGTTGCACAAGAATATGCACCCTAAACTAATATGATGAAAGTTAAGATTCAAAAAATTAGTGCTAACAGCAAATGTCGACTCTGCCAAGAAAAAGATGAAACTGTGTCACACCTCATCTGTGAATGTGCAAAGACTGCACAAACAGATTACAAAGTTGCACATTTTGCACA